GGGACCTCTGGGACTCTGGCTGATGGACCTGAGGATCGCTACTGGTGGGACCTCTAGGACTCTGGTTGATGGCTGCTTGTTTCGATTGGACCTCTGGGCCCGCTGTTGGTGGGACCTCTGGGACCCTGGCTGATGGACCTGAGGATCGCTACTGGTGGGACCTCTAGGACTCTGGTTGCCTGCTGTTGCAGGCTGCTGATTCTTGACCGTTGTAACTTTTTGCTCGAAGGACCATGTACGCTCCAGGAGACTCTAATTCTCTGGATAGTATTTTCTGCTTGATCCCGATGGTTTAGGATAGAAGAGCAGAAGGGCCTTAGTACCAGACAGGACTTAAAGTCACGGCACTTGCACTAGGGCGTAAGATAGGTAACTTACAACCAGACTAGAGCACTTGTTGTAAGTTGGAAAAAAAAGGACCCAAGCCAGACAAAGCACTTGCTATAAGGTTTAAATTAAACCTGTAACCAGACAAAGCACTTGCTACAGATTTAGAGAAGGGCCTAATGTAACCAGACAGAGCACCTGCTACAATAAGGCTAAAGAAAAGTAATTGTTAGAGCGCAGTCTCACGACTCTACTAGCGTTGCTAGGCCAATGGTGACTTGGGCACAATTTAAGTAAGAGAAACAACAATAAGTTTGAATCTGATTTTATTAATGAAATTGATCACCTTTTATATACAATAAATGCTGATTTTGCACACATCGATTGTCGTCATTTCCAATAATAAAAGTAGGTTGCTTATAATTAATTAATTCTAATATGTACAGTATGGTAAAAATATTAAGATTAAATGTTCCAATTTGGATAAATGGACACATTCGAATATTTATTCTTTTGAATGTACCACTTGTAAAGCAAAATTTACACTAAAAAGCAATTTAAAGAGACATATATTAAGGCATGACATGACAACACTGGTTTGTCTAATACCGATCTGAGAGAGATCAAAACAGCCATCGTCAACACTTTTAATGAATAAAATTTCCAGGATATTGCCAGTACGGTTTCAACGTTAATGGAAACTTAATTTGAGGAGCAATTTAATAATCAAAGGGCATTTCTGGATGGCTATTTTGATACAATCAACTGTCTGGAAGGCGAAAACCAATCGCTAAGAAAAAGAATAGATGATCAGAAATAGGCGATAATATACAAATTTTCGGGTTGTAGTTTAAAAATGATGAAGACCTAAATATCAAGATATTTATGAAACAAAGAGACACCGCTTTACAAAAATTCGAAAGAACTAGGGATAATAATGATTGCATTTTCTATAAAGCTACGTTTACATTCAATTCCAATTCAAATTGTAATTGGAATTATTTGACAGTTGAACGACTGCCCATTTACATTGAAATTTGTGCGGGAATTGGTTTTTAGCCTTTCATTTGTGTATCGTATATGTAAGGATAGTTAGAAACAAATTTCAAAAACTTCTCACCGTCAAAATTCGACCATTCCTCACTTCAACTTCACTTTCACCGAGATTTCCACTAAACATATTGAAGGTTATCGTGGATATGGGTCTCATTCTAAGCTTATCTGATCTGATATCAGCTTTTAAATGGTTTTTATGAAATATCGCAATTTTTTCTATATTGAATAATTATTATTAGATGTGTGCCATTGGTGATAACTTGCTACCTATTGATTTTACAAAAAAAAAAAATGTTTCAAATAAAAGATGTGAAAAATTATTTGATCTACAATGTTTATCTGGAAACTTTTTCAATTAGGGGCCTTCTGTGGTCATAAGGGCCGTTTGAAATTTATAATGTCATATAATCCTGTATTTGTGAGGTAAGTGGTTACTATCTTAACTAGAATTTTCTTGATTATTATGGATAAAATTTCTTGTATGTAGATTCTTTGTATGATTTAATTTCCGAGTGATTGCTGCTGAGATTGAGAGCCTCGATAGTTTTCGTCATTGCAAAAGCTGTTGTCTAGTTGTTTGGTTATTTGGAGGTTCATAGTTGGAACATCCACCTATGGTATTTATGTGGTTGGAAGTTAGTTGCCGAGCCAGTATTCACACAGGCCAAGAAAAAGTGCAGCTCAGTGGACGTACCAGAGTACCAACAGTAACAAGAATTATTGCTAAGAAGATTAGGATAAGTAAAATAACGTCATGGTTTTTGAGATTTGCTCTGAATATTATTGACATGTTATTGGTTATTTACTACTAGATTTCTACATTGAAACAATACATGTTTCCTTCAGATTTATACCAATACAAAATATATATACATATATAAAATTAATTAATAAAGAGTCGTGAGCTTAACGCAATTGCGATAGGTACCTAATTTGTTTTTTTAATTAAGAGCCTGAGAATTAAAGAGTTAATGATTTAAAGATTTTGTGAGTGAATAACTCATCTTGTTCCGTGCATACTAGTTTTATTTACCTACCTTGATTTTGAATAATTCCTATTGGAAATTAAGCAAGGGAGCATTGTGGTAAGAATCTTACCTATTTGAATTGAAATATACAGGATGTCACAAAAGATTTGTTTAAAGCTTCTAGGGATGGTAGATCTCGTAAAAATATATATATATTTTTTTTTTGGATAAACATATGTCCGGAAATGCTTCGCTTTCCAGATACAAGGTGTTAAATTTTGTAAAAAAAGCCTATTTTTTCATTAATTCTTAAAAATGCGTTGGACAAATTAAATGAAATTTTCGTAGTTTGTTGACACCTTCATGAGGTATCTTTTTGGACTGCTCAGAGTTAACCCAGTAATTCCAGGGACGTGCCACAGGTTCTGTCGGATGTTTTTTTGCACGAAAAACATCATCCAGTATATTTATTTTTAAATAGGATATGTTTTTTGAATAGAACACTTAAAAATACAACTTTTTTTTCTCTCCATTTTTTTCCGTATGCTGCTTTATTTTCGAGATAAAATTCAAAAACCATTTCAAGCGAACCAGGCACGTCACTGACCTCCATAAATAAGAAATAAATTACCACAGAAATACCTGAAATTTTACCTAGCTATTTGTTGCTTAAAAATAAACGAAAAAAACATAAAACTTTTTTTCTAAAACGCACGCACTTCTGAGAATTATAGTAAAAATTGATTTTTTTTTACAAAATTTTACACCCTGTATTTCTGGAAAACGAAGCATTTCCGGATACATGTTTATTAAGAAAAAAGCTTTATTTTTACAAAATCTAACATATCTAAGAGTTTGTAACAAACTTTTTGTGACACCCTGTATAATAATCGTATTTGTACCTTTGTAGAATAGTAGTGGCCGCGAGGAGTAAAATCAAGTGAAGCAAACCGGCAATATTACCCAGGCATCACGTTACAGTGACTGTTGACTGAACCCCAGTGCGTTCCCTAAGTTGGCATGTAAATACTGACAAGGAGTTGGTACGAACTTTCCGATTCATTGGGATTTCTGTGGATTACTGAATACATATTCCTGGCACTGGTTTCTCTATCAACTCATAAGAACTCAATATACTTACCTAGTGAGATTTTTGCAATATCATTTTTTCAGGGCCGTAAGCGCTGGGTTAACATTTAATTAAAAAATTACATTACAAAAATGTTGTCTTTTTTGGTGTACGCTAAAACTCTGGCCCCTTTCCGAGTTATGTATTAATTTTTCACATTTTTAACCCACCTATATCTAATCTAACTAACTGATCTTTTTTTTTAGGTTTATGATTAATAAACATCTAGAGGATGACATTAAAAATGAAATAGAAGTATCAGATATTCAATTGATAGATCCAAATAAAGGGATATTTATAAAGGAGGAATATTCAAGAGATGCCAATTCATCAGGACCAGATGTTTCCAGAAAATTCCAATGTTACATTTGCAATGCTTTATTTAAAACTAAATCAAGTTTAAAAAATCATTTAGTGATACACTTTGATATTTTTCCTTTTGAATGTGACACTTGCAAAGCAAAATTTAAACGAAAAGACGTTCTGAAAAAACACCAATTAATACATTCGGATATTTATCCCTTTGAATGTAACACGTGCAAGGCAAAATTTAGACAAAAAGCCAATTTGAAAAATCACATACTGACACACTCAGATATTTGGACTTTTGAATGTGACATTTGCAAAACAAAGTTTAAACGAAAAACCGAATTGCAAAGTCACAAACTAACACATTCGGATCTTCGTTCTTTTGAATGTGACATTTGCAAAGCAAAATTTAAACGAAAAGGCAATTTGAGAAATCACAAACTAACACATTCGAATGTTTATTCTTTCGAATGTGACACTTGTAAAGCAAAATTTAAACAAAAACATAATTTGAAGAGTCACCAATTAATACACTCGAATATTTTTCTTTTTGAATGTTCCACTTGTAAAGCAAAATTTAGACGAAATAGTCATTTGAAGAAACACATAATAAGAAAGAAAAATTTAAATAGCAACCTGCAATGCCGGAGTTAATTAATACCAATGGTAATTTAAAATAATATTCAGTTGCGCATTAAGCTAAATAAGTGTAAATTTGAATTTAATGCTTGCACTGTAAAATTTAAACGTGAAACAATTTTGAATGTCCATTTAGCATCCACAATGGGTTGATTACTTTTTACCAAGGATTTTAAGGCGTTTCACATTTTGCGTGTAGAGAACGTAATTTTTTTTTTTTTTCAACTAAGTTTTAACTTAATATAAGCAGGTTAAATTGGAAGAAAACCGCACTTAACGTATTACATCTTCAGGAACGATTTTACCGGCAGTACTCCAAATTTGGATATTTGGGTATTTATTGTTTAGGATATGAAACTTGCAAAGCAAAATTTAAACGAAAAAATTATCTGAAGAATCATAAACTAATACATTTGGATGTATATTTTTTTGAATGTGACACTTGCAAAGCAAAATTAAAACGAAAAAGCGAATTGAAGAAACACAAATTAACACATTCAGACGTTTATTCTTCTGAATGTAAAAGTTGCAAAACAAAATTCAAACGAAAAAGTGATTTGGAGAGTCACAACCTAACACATTCGGATATTTATTCTTTCGATTGTAAAACTTGCAAAGCAAAATTTAAACGAAAAGGCAATTTGAAAAATTAAAAACTGATACACTCGGAACATCAAGCATAACATGTCAAAATACTGCCGAAATAATTTCAAATTTCTAAGTCTTATCATGTGAACAAATGCTGCGCCGTCATAAACAATGCAATCAAAAATGTCAGGAATATTATGTGCACCTCCTAAAGATTCTAGCTCTTTGGCTAAGTCCATACTAACCCAAGTTATACAATGATTGATAAGAACATAAAATTGGTAGGTATTTGATCTGAATTAAAATATTATGATATTTATTCCATGGTGAATCATTGAAGCAGTAGCGGCATGCTCATGAAAAACTGATAATAATACGCCAAAGACGGAAATTATTTATTTGTCTTGTTATTTCAAAACATGGAAACCACCCCATTATACATTTTCCAAGTCATCATTTTGTTTAACAATGTTTTCGTAGACTTTCTCCAGCCATTCGCTGTCTTTGGTCCATGACATTATAAAATACTCTGTAATGAAAATCAACTCACAACTATTTTGTAAATATTTAAAATCATTTACCAGAAGATATAAGTTGGACGTTTATTGTACAGCACAGGCGTAGTTGTAGAATTTCCATAGAGTGAAAATATTACTACAGCTAACAAAGCCGCTGATATCTCTTCAATAGGATCGACTAATTTTCCTATAAAATTGACATGTTCTTCTAATATAGTATTTCTCAATTTTTTTATAAATTTTTGAAAACCAATGTAGTCTTCTGGATTTATTTCGCAATTGATATTTGCATTATTTTTTTATGACTACCTATATATTCTCATCCAGATTTGTGTTTTTTAAGGTGAGAAGGTGACATCTGTTCAGTTGGTTTACCTCTGAGATGTGAGAACCTCTCTTGGTACATTTGTACAAGATCAGGTATTTTCTTTCTTAAGGTGTACAACGTAATCCCTGAAAATCGTTTGCTTTTATCATTAAGTGCAGTTTTCTTCCAATTTAAGCTGCTAACCATTCCCACGAGTATTTATAAGTATTTTTTTGTGTAATATAGGGAGAGTTGTAGAGTAGCTTTAGCTAATTTTCACCCTATGGGTAAATGTAATTCACTTACATTTGTAAATGAAGAGACAGTTTATTATTAATGTAGTTTTTTTTAAGGTCTTCTAATTGTTTGAGATTAAGCAGTTTATTGTACCATTTGTAGTATTAAGTTCTGTAATGTGGTGATTGTATAAATAAATAATTACAGTTATGTATAGTGAATCTACTTAAAATTCATGTACCTATTTGGTTTTTGGAAAAATGCTCGGAGATGTCCATAGTATGTTTTGTCACGTATTTTTTTTTTCAATAAAAAGTTTTCTTATAGGATGTCTCAAATGAACGATAGGTCAATGGTATTTGAAAAATGACAATTCTCTGTTTTGAGAGAACAATACAACATGCAGAAGAACATTGGCATGTTTCTATTGCCTAACTCATTTTTATTGTGAGCCTATTTTATGTGACAATATCAATTTTGAGATCATACATTTTTCAGTATCGACCATCTTACCGAATGCGCTTGGTTGATTGACATTTAATTAAAAAAACTACATCATTACAAAAACGTTGTATTTTCTAGTGTGCCTACATCCAAACCTCTTTTCGTGACCTATGTATTAATTTCTAAAATTTTTATCTCACCTAAATATATCTAAAGTAATTTCATAATTTAACTAACTGACATTTTTTTTTTAGGTTCATGATTAGTGAATATCTAGAGGATGACATTAAAAATGAAATAGAAGAATCAAATATTCAATTGATAAATCCAAATAAAGGGATATTTATGAAGGAAGAGAAATATTCAAGTGATACCCATTCATTAGGACCAGATGCTATTAGAAAATTCCAATGTTACACTTGCAGTGCCTCATATAAAACTAAATTACATTTAAAATATCATTTGCTGACACACTTCGATATTTTTCCCTTCGAATGTGACACTTGCAAAGCCAAATTTAAACGAAAAGGCGTTTTAAAGAATCACCAATTAATACATTCGGATATTTATCCCTTTGAATGTAACACTTGCAAAGCAAAATTTAAACGAAAAGGCAATTTGAAAAATCACAAACTGATACACTCGGATATTTATGCTTTCGAATGTGGAAGTTGCAATGCAAAATTTAAACGAGAAACCATATTGAAAAATCACAAACTAACACATTTGAATATTCGTCCTTTTGAATGTGACACTTGCAAAATAAAATTTAAACGAAAAAACGACTTGAAGAGTCATCAACTAACGCATTTAGAAATTTACCCTTTCGAATGTGACACTTGCAAAGCAAAATTTAAAAGAAAAAACATTTTCAAAAATCACCAATTGATACATTCGGATATTTATCCTTTTGAATGTGACATTTGCGAAGCAAAATTTAAACGAAAAGGCGACTTAAAAAGTCACAAATTGACACACTCGGATATTTATTCTTTTGAATGTGACAGTTGCAGAGCAAAATTTAGATTAAAAAGTTATTTGAAGAAACACATATCAAGGCATTTGGATGGAAAACTTATGGCAATTTAAAACAACATTGAGTAACGCATTCAGCTAAATAAGAGTAAGGTTCGTTTCTCGAGGGTTCATACTTTTCTTATCGAACACGTCATAACCTGAAAAAAAAGGTTGTCGTTTGTAGATTGATTCATATGACACATTCAATTTTTTTGACAAATTGAAATTAATGACTTCTGGTTTAAAAACCGCCGAACGTTTTTGACATCAATAATTTATTTCAGTCAATTTTTATTTGTTAGAAAAGGAAGACAAATTTTGTCAAAAGTATGAACCCTCATGAAACAAAGGCTATGATTCAAATATAACCAGTGTTGTGGTTTCGCGGTCCGAAAGTAATCAAATTACTCTGGTTCTTAGAAAACTGGTTACTTTTGCTGCATTATTTTTATTAAGAATTTTTTTAATCACCGATACTGGGTAGTTTTTTTTAATCAACATACTCTGTATGCACTGTTTGATAAGAGTAACATTGCTATACTTTTAAGAATAATAATAAATATTTATCTTATGTTTGAATGTGTGTTCTGATGAGTAATTAATTAAGAAATCTCTTCGAAAAGGTTGGTTTATAGTACCAGTCAATTTCTAGCTATAATTTGTTTTTGTCTTATTAGAAGCACATCAAGAAATGCTATCTTGTTGTCTCTTTCTTCCTTTATTGTAAAGTATATTCTGGGATGGTAACTATTAAAATATGTCTAGTACAGTTGTTCTTGATTTTTGGGAATTGCAGTTATTATGTCATCTACATATCTTTCATAAAACGCTAATTGAAAAAGAAGAAAATCTGAACAAACTGGTGATAAACAATTACCCATTCTCAGACCATATATTTATTTATAAAAGTTGTCCTAATACTCACTCACATTACTAGTTTAGCAAATCTATGCAAAGGAATCTGAACACTATTCTCTACAAGATGCCATTTTTTCTTGACTATGTTTACCATTTCAACTGCCTGTCTGTAAGTTTGTAAATGATGATGCCTTAATAAATAAATAAACATTTTTATTAAGTGATGATTCAAAAAAATTCGTCGTAATAAGGCCGATACATAAATCCAGGAATCAAATCCAAAGTCTCCGACAATTGAGATCATCTGACCAAAAGCTGTCAAAAAACTAAATTACCTGGGAAGTTAGATTTGAACATCTGCCACCATATTATATGTATGTAATATTATGCGCTATAATAAATTGAAAATATATTTCCAAATGCCGATTTGTAATGACGAAAATCAAAAATGTGAATGATTGCTTGGATTTCTATTAAAAAAAAAAACATGTAGGTTGTCTGAGAAAATACTACAGAGAAATGTTGAAGTCAGCCAGAGCCAACAGAGGAAAAGTGCAAATACCAGAATACTTTGATTTTTAAGATCCTATATTAATTGGACAAAGATAATTTGAATATTTTTGTGCGGCTTGTCAATTAAATGACAAAGAAAAATGAAAGTAAAATTAAAAATGCTCCTATGTTGTTTGGATTTGGATGGATAAGACTTATTGTTTTTTTTTTTTCCAATCAATAAACTAAATTAAATAAATCGGATTACAAGTTTGATTTGGGATTATGAAAAAAGTTGTATAAGGGAGAAACAAATTCCTAAAACGGCAACCATTAGAAGAGGAACCAATAAAGATTATTTGCACAATTATTAGAAATAACAATATTGTCATCTTCAAATTAGTGTGCCAAATAAGCAGCAAATCATGTATTTAGAAAACAGACATGCAATATAAAGTTGCAGGTACAGAGGTGATTTGGATTACATACTACAAATATTTAGTTTTGTAAGTCTATATTTAAGTTGGACCGCCAAGAAATACAAGAATTATTTTTTAAAATAACAATTTGTCATTTATAACTTAAGTATTAAAATATTAGGTAGCAAAGTGAAAAGAACGTGAAATTATTAAAATTTCTTTAATTTTAGAAAATAGTACTTGAAGGCTTGTGAACTTACCTACCCATTGGGAGCCCGACAACAATGATTTATCGTATTTCGATCAAAATATAATTGGTGGAAAGAAGGCTTACGACTAACATTGTTAACAATCGAAACCAGGTAGAAACCACAAAACATCCCCCCTTAGAAATGTAAGTCTTATGAGAGACGTCAGTCTAGTCGTTTCAGCTTTCCCCTCCAATCACTAGAGGCGCTTCAATCAACCTATTAAAGTTTTCTTTTTCCTGCCGGACCGTGCGCCAAGATTTGAAGTTTATTTTGTCATTTCCAGTCGTCAAAATTTAAATTTTGAACTTCTCCCAACATTTAGAATTATCAATTACCTATCAATTATCAATAATTATTATCTCAAAATGTCTTCTCCCAGTTTGTTAATTGAAAAGCATCAGAAATGCTGTGTTCCGGGGTGCGGCGACAAATACAGCAGCTATTTCCGGTTTCCAAAAGATGCCGAAAAAATGAAACAATGGCTATAAAAAGTTCGCAATCCTTTACTAAATAGCCTCAGTGTCGAGAAGGCTTATAATAATTATAGAGCGTGAACATGACATTTTCCTCGAGAATTTATTGTTGGCGATCCAAAAGCCAGACGAGGACTCACATGGAATGCTGCGCTTTTGCTGTATCTCCCTGAAGGTAAGTTAATACTAGATATATGTGAGAAAGACGTACTTACATTTTCAC